CCCGATTTCTGGAAAATGGAGCAACTTTATTGAAAAAAAAAAAAAAAATATATACATTCGAAAAGTAGACACTCTAAGTTTTAAAATGGTGTGCATTGAATAACCATATAATGAAATATGAGTTTTTAATTACTGCTTGTTTCAAAGATTTTTAGAACTCCGAAAACGTATGAAAAATGCCAATAAACAAATCAATTTTGTTTTAAAACGCCAGGAAGATACTGGAAAAAAATTTCTGAGATCATTTGAGACATCTAAAGATCCCATTTAAAACAAAAATGGGATAAAAAAACTATTAAAAGAAAAAAAATATGAATGAATTACTATAAAGTGGTCCAAAATAGTGGAAAAACGCAACTTTGACCCCTTTTTCAATGTTCTTGACAAGAAATAACGGGCTTCAAGGCACATGGATCGATACCTATGGGTTTTCCCATTGTAATGAACTTTGAATCATCGAAAAATATCAATTTTTGACCGAGTTCTGAAACAATTTGTCCACCCGTTTACAAGCTAATCAGCATTGCTATAGAGATAAAGCAGGGGCTGAACGAGGGGACTTTTGATTGCGGTTATCTCGAAATCTGTCGAATTCCCGACAAAAATGATAAAGACCATTTTTGAAGATAATGATAAGATCTTTCTTTTTTAACTAATAAAAATTCTCTAATTTGCGTGTTGTGGAAGATATTGGCGGGAAACCAGTTTTAGGGTCAATTTTCGGCCCTTTCCGACGCAGCAGAGTTGGTAAAAGTTTTTGACCTTGGAAGCGACCGCCGAGACCTAAGAGTTGAGCCACAACGGAAATCTGGACCGACTTAATGACAGGTTGGTCCCTTCAGTTACTGGACTATAACACGATCGAAGATAAAATACTACTAACATTTTATAAAATACATGTTAAACAATTCAAATTAAAATTATAATTTACGAAATATGGGTTATTTTTACTCCGTTACCATAAATAACGTCATTGCCATGGACCGTCCAATTTTTCATTTTAAATCCGCTAGGGAGCACCACCGGGGGTATTTTATATTAGGTGGGATTGTGCTTTACTCCTCAGTTTTCCGTCAGCATTGAAGCCTGCATGTGCTTTGTTTTGCTTGGACTAGTTGAATGATTAACTTGGTAAAAGAGGTACGTATTTTTTTAATGTATCTCACCATCAAGTAGTTTTTTTAGTAGTTATACCATGAAAAACTTGTGTTATAAGTTTTCCCGTGAAGAAAAACGCTTTAATGTGTCCTATGCACTTTTTTGTCAACATGGGCCATTTTGGGTCTTAATACCAAAAGCCTCATTAAGAGAGACCTGTCTCTGTGTTTTTCATGAAAATATAAGACTTTTAGTATTAAAAATTAAAATGATAGGAATAGTAACGCAAGCTAATCCTGGCGACTTAGTAAAAAATGTATGTAACTTTGTTTGGAAAGAGTATGCCAGAATTGTAAAACCAAAACTATACTCTATGACGATTATAATGCAGAAGAAAATACCTCATACAAAACGTGGATTCTTAAACGTGAAAAGCTTCTCGTAAAAGGTCATGAAAAAGTTTGTCAAAAAAATGTTAAAGAGAATTTCCTTTGCACCAAGTTCCATTTAGTAAAAGAACTGGAACAAAATCTGCCCAATTACATGGAACACCTTGCTAAAATAGAACACCAGTATAAAACCATAGATCCTATGAAATCCCATTTAGGTAAAAAGATTATCTTAGTACATATGGATTTCTCAGAAAATTACTCCTGTAAATATTCTCAAGAAATACAGAGTGCCCATTTTGGAGGCTCGAAACATCAGATTTCCCTTCACACTGTGGTGTGTTATACTAAATCTGAGGATGGAATCTTACATCCGCATTGCTTTTGCAGTCTCTCCAAAAGTTTAAAGCATGATCCAGTTAGTATTTTGGCACATTTGAAGCCACTCTTCGAAACAATTTTAAATACTTTTCCCGAATTGGAAAATGTGAGCGATGGGCCTAGCACCTAGTACAAAAATAAAAGTATGTTTTACATATTTGGAATAGAATTTTTTAAATTACTTGATGCGCAATATGACTGGCAACTTTACTGAGAGTGGTCATGGAAAAGGAGCTCCTGATGGTGTGTGGGGGTGTGTTAAAAGAACAGCTGATCGATTGGTGGCTCAGGGAGTAGATATACCAGATTTGGATAGTTTAGCTTCAGTACTGAAACAAAACTGCCCGGGCATAACCTTCAAAGTAGTAACAGAAGAAGATATTGAAGTTTTAAATGATGTAATTCCCCTTAATATCAAACCTTTTAAAGGCACTATGAAAGCAAGACAACTGGTGTGGACTCTTAAATATAATAATATGATTCATTTAAGATGGTTGAGCTGTCTAACTTGCAAACCTCCAAATCCTTGCCTTCATTATCACTTGGGTGAAATGCTACTTGTTCCTGCTGTTATTAAGAGTCGTCTCAGATATTCAGATATTTATTCTTATAGTTTCAACGATGATACGCAGAGCCCAATTCCATATCAAACAGAAAACAAAATTAATATTAGGTAAATTTGTATTGGTTGAGTATCCTAAGAATTCGAAAGTATATCATGTTGGCCAAGTTGCCAATATCATTAAAAATCTGATGTGTCCAACACATGACTTTCCTATCTAGTTATTACAGGCTTTTTCCGTTTATTGTGTACAACCTATTGCAGCATCTCTATAAATGTTTAGAGGATAAACTAAATATATACATTGTCCACATACATCTACCGCGAAACATTTTTCTATAGATATTCATTGAAAATGAAAATACTGAAAAATTTAAATTTAGCACTTTTCTTACAATTTTTCCATTACGGTCCATTTAAAAAAAATCATGTATGAACAAATATTATAGAGATCGATATCGCAGACAACTTTTATTTCAACAATTTTCATAAAAATCAGAATTTTGCACATTTTGTCAAATTTCTCGAATACGGACCATTTCAGGAAATTTTTACATAAGGCAAAAATTATAGATAATAATATTAGAAGTAACTTTTATTTAAACAATTTTCTTCTCCAAACATAAATAACAGATATATTTCATAAAATATATAGACGGCCTCCCATAAAGTACCCCCCAGATGTTCCGACTTTGTCCAAAATCTAATCATTTCACGTCAGGCCGAAATAAAACTTAAGTTTAAAATTTATTGATTTTTTCTTTATCCGTTTTTAAGTTTTCTTCAAATTTCGAAATTTACACATTTTCTCAAATATCTCGAATACGGTCCATTTTAGAGAAATTATTTATGGGACAAAAATTATAGAGAATTATATTACAAACAACTTTTGTTTGAACAATTTTTATAAAAAAAAATATTTTTTTACCTTTTCTCAAATTTCTCGAATACGGACCATTTTAGGAAAATTTTGCATAAAACAAAAATTATAGATAATTATATTAGAAGTAACTTTTATTTGAAGAATTTTCTTTTCCAAACGTAAATAACAGATATATTCCATAAAATATAAAAATGACTACCTATAAAGTACCCCCCCAGATGTTCCGACTCTGCCCAAAATCTAATCAGCTCATTGGACGCTGAAACAAAGCTTAAGTTTAAAATTTGGTGTTTTTTTGTGTATCGGCACACACACAGACACACAGACACACAGACACACAGACACACACACACACACACACACACACACACACACACACACACACGCACGCACGCACGCACGCACCCACACACACACACACACACACACACACACACACACACACACACACACACACACACACACACACACACACACACACACACACACACACACACACACACACACACACACACACACACACACACACACACACACACACACACACACACACACACACACACACACACACACACACACACACACACACACACACACACACACACACACACACACACACACACACACACACACACACACACACACACACACACACACACACACACACACACACACACACACACACACACACACACACACACACACACACACACACACACACACACACACACACACACACACACACACACACACACACACACACACACACACACACACACACACACACACACACACACACACACACACACACACACACACACACACACACACACACACACACACACACACACACACACACACACACACACACACACACACACACACACACACACACACACACACACACACACACACACACACACACACACACACACACACACAGACAGACATCATCGCGAAAATAGTCAAAACGGATTCAGGGGACCTCAAAACGTAAAAATCCGTCGAAAACTCGAGGTCGAAAAAAATCATGATTCCTATACTTTCCTTATATCTGTATACAGATAGGAAAGTAAAAAGGAATAAGTTTCGATTTACAGATAAACATTTCAATGGATTTACTAATGTTAAATAAACAAGTCACCACTTGGCATATTCTTATTTTATTCAATGGTTTGTTTTTAAATATAAGTTAATAATGTCAAAGTTGTGTTCAGCATTATTTGTTTTTTGTTCATTATAATTATTATGAAAAGTATCTTTGATATTTTATAATGTACGTTATTATAAAATAATAAATTAGTTTTATGACTCTTGTAAACAAATGACTCTTCTTTCATGCAACAATATTAAAAAAAATGCACGGATAACTTCATGAAAAATGGAAAACACATGTCCATGGAGATGTTCAATAATTGATCAACTCCATGGACATGCATTATTTATTTTTTTAGAATAAAAACCATAAAACCTAATAACGATCTCAACCTTGAGTAATTATCAAACATATATCATCCCTTAAGCATAATGGCATCAATAATTTATATAATTTTTGTATTTAATATATTAGATTTTTCAAACATAATTTTTTACCATTTCACTGGAATAACCCATCACAAAGTACATGCAACAGAAAAATAATTGTAAACAAAAAGTATTATATATAACTCAAATTTGATTCTTTCAGCTTATAAGGAAAACTTTGAAATTGTTTATCGATCGAACAAATGGAAAATGAACGTAAAAAAGGCTTTAAGTTCAGATATTTTTAACAAAATGTCAGAAATTGTTACTACAATGGAAGCTAAAGAAAAAGGAGTATCAGGAAAAGGTGTGGGTGTTTTAGTAATTGAACTAGTTAGTTCTAATACTGACAATGCACCCAAATTTAACAATCCATATTATATTGTCCAATACAAAAAAGATCGAACAGGCCTTATTGATTTCAATCCAGCTGTGGCCTTTAAAAACTATAATGATTTTTCTAAAATGTCGATTAATCTAACTAGTAAGTATTTTGAGTACACAAATAATTATTTGCTTTAAAAATACAATATATTTCAAAATATTACCATACTTTAAAACAATTTTGTAAATATAACACAAATTAAGCATGTTAAAAAAATATAATACAGACATTGTTTGAGTCAATACAACAAATATATTCTTGTAGCGTATTCGGACAACTTTGAAGTGGTATTAGATTCAAATGCGTGGAGGATAAAAATAAAGAAGCCTTTAGATGCAGATACTTATGCAAGAACTAGTGAAATTGTCACTACTATAGAAGCTACAGAAGCTGAAACAGCAGAAAAAGGGATAGCTGTTTTAGTAATAGAACTTATAGATGATTCTAGTTCTGATATCCCAGAATTTGTTGAACCATTTTATATCGTACAGTACAAAAAAGACCAAACTGGCTACATTGATTTCAATCCAGCTATAGCTTTTAAAAACGTAAAAGATATGCCTAAAATGTCTATAAAATTAGCTAGTAAGTATGTTTAGTCCAATTAAATAACGAAAAAAAGCCCCTTCGAGCTTACATTAATTTGTAATTGGATGAAACAAAAAGGACCTTGTGTATTTTGATGTGATCTTTCCGAAAAAAAGAAAAAAAAGATGTAGCAGTTTTTCAATTTTTTTTAAATTAGGAAAAACCGGGTTTTCCGGAATTTTCCATTGTAAAAATGCTAATTATCTGGGCAAGTATCATTCCGATAGTGAAAATAAATGCACCATTCGAAAGAGGAGGCAAAAATAGTTAGGAAATTCACTGCACAGGTAGTTTTAATGGCGAATTTCTCGCCGCCAGAAGTGCTTCTACCAAAAAGTCGTTTTTTCGTTTTTTTGATCAGATCCATGGACATGAAATTTGCGATGAATTTGTGGCGAAATTATAAATGTTAGACATATGTGCCCATGAGAGAAGTTGCGTATTTTTTTGTTGGCTCTCAAATAAAATAAGTCCCGCGGCGAAATCTGACATATTTTTTCGGGAATTCGCAGGAAACCAGAGGCGTAGTTTTTTTTTTAATTTTTTTCCCATGTGATTTTTTCCGGGTTTTCCAAAAACATCTAACAAAATAAATATATTTGAAAAAACTAACTTCGCCATCGAAAAGAGCACAAAAAAATACACAAAAAGGTATACTTTAAAAATGTTAGGAAATTAATCCTAAGCCTGAGTGTAAGTTCCAACTTGGTGATAAGCTTGCTTTTTGTTCGCTAATATCTGGTAATTCTATATTTTGCACAAAACTCAAGAAACGTCTTATAACAAGTCAGTAAAATACAATTTAATAAATTTTAAGCCTAATAAATTTAGATATGCAAGAAATTTAAAACTGAAAATCGCAAAAAAATCAAATTACAGTAATGTAGTGTATACACGAGTTTTGGATCCCGGAGCGCGTGTAATGGGACTTTTGTCGGGAGAATTCTACAACTTAGAAGACACATACACACTTTAAACTTTGTATACACATTTAGAAGACATGAAATTTGGGTTTATTTAATTTTCAGACAAAAAAACTAAAAATTGTCAATTTTAGGCAACTTTTCTCAAAAACCGTGTTTTTTGGTCGTCACTCAATGAACAGTGGTCAAAAAAATAGATAAAATATATTTGCAGAATTTTTCGTAATGTAATCGTATTCTAGACACAATAGAGTACTCAAAAAAGTTTTGAGCCATTGGGTGCATTTTTGGCATTTTTGTGCCACTTCAAACTTTCGAAAAAAAAAATTATTTTTTTTTTGGAAAAAAAAATTATTTAATTGTTTGATATCTTAGCCAATTATGGTCCGATATCGGTGAAATTCACACACACATAAGATTTTACATTTAAGAGTAAGTATGTAAGTGGAATTAAAAAAATTCAATTAGTTTGGCCGTTATAGACAAACAATGAAATTAGGACCGCGGTGCATTTTGCCCTTCCGCCATATGCCCAATTTTGGGATTTCTCTTGCCCCCTTCTGGGAATCACTAGTCACATCCCTTAAGTTCAAAACGCATTTTTGTTTTTTCAAATATCTTAATTTGTGTTTGAACATTTAACAAATTCAATTTTTCGACCTTCGTCGCCTCAAAATACTAAACAAATTTCAATCGTCCATACCGCGAGAACGGTGCATGGGATCAAAATTTCTCAAGAGACATAAAAATTAGCATTTTTCTTAAGCTTTCAAATGTCGTAAACTGCGTTTTAAAAATATTGATTTATTTCCGACATGCGCCTGCGCAAAATTGAAAAATTGACAAAGTCCAAAATTTCGGCACTTTCGAAAAACTGCTACATTTTGTTTTGCCTTTTTTCGAAAAGATCACCTCAAAATACATAGAATCCATTTTGTTTCATCTAATTACAATTTAATGTAAGCTCAAAACCCGTAATTTAATTCGATTAGTTAAATTATTTAGAAATAAATAGTAATATTTCAAGAATATATACACCACACTTTGAGAGACTACACAATAAACACAATAATAAATACATCGCAAATTCTATACAAATGAAAAAAAAAATAGAACATAAACATTATTGGAATCAACACTAAATACAGAAAATTTGTCAAGTACGAGGATGGATCCCTATGCTGCACCCCTGACTCCCCTTACAGTAAAACTACAGTGGTATAAAATTTTTCAATTTTCTACACTAATGCACTTAATCCATGGATTAGTAAGAGTGGGAGTAGTAATTTGATTATGAGTGGGAGAATTAGTTTCTAAAGTATTCTGAGTGGGAAAATGTGTATTTAATGTTTTAGTGCTTTCATTTGTTTGCAATGGTTCTTCAAGTGCATTCTCCATTGGTGCAAGATGTCTTGTAAATACAGTTGTTTCTCTTCCATCAGATAACCTAACGTATGAATATTCAGGTTTGCCTTCCAATAATAACACTTCTTTAACCAGAGGTTTGTACTTTGACTGGAGAACTGGTCGCTTTATTAAAACAGGTCATCAGCCAAGAAGGTAATGTTACATTATTGCTAGATCTTCTGAAGAAATTAAACATTCTTTCATGTGGTGTTGCGTTTGTCGATGTACATAATAATGAACGGATAGAATTTAGAGCTTCTTGATACATTATCTCCGATTTAGTAATGTCAAGTTGCCGACTCTTAAGTGCTAATTCAATGGTCTTCCAAATGATTCCAACATATGGTTCACTTTGACCGTTACCTTGTGGATTATACGCTGTGCTTCTACTTGTAGCAACACCAATATCATAAAGTAATGATTTAACTTCACATGACATGAAACTTGAACCTCGAACAGATAAGCAGGTGTTCCGAACAATGTAAAAATGTCTTTAAGTTTTGTAATTACAGTGCTAGCAGATATATGTTGACATGGGAAAGCGAATGGAAATCGTGAAAATTCGTCAACTAAAATTAGTAAATAACTATTTCTTGATGATGAAGGCAATGCCCCTTTGAAATCCATATTAAGTCTCTCAAAAGGCTGAGTTGCTTTGATAAGATGACCATCGTGTTTATGAAATCTAGGTTTTATCATAGTACATACATGGCAACTTATTATTATATTTCGTATATATCTTACAAGGAAAAAGATAAGTTCTTACTTCTCACCCAATGGTACATCCTTGTCTGTCCAGGGTGACAGTTCGTGTAACCTATGTAGCTGTGATAAATTTTTTCCAATCGAAGAACATATTCGGGATAATGCTTCAGCTGCCATATTTTCTCTTCCAGGTCTATAAATAATTTCATAGTTGTAACTTGACAGTTACAATCTCCATCTCATGAATTTTTCGTTCTTTATTTTCCCTTGATGATTTCTATCAAACATGAAGAAAACGGATCGCTGATATGTTACAAATCATAGGTATCTGCCAATGAGTAATGTCTCCACTTCCTTTTCAATAGAGGAATGATATATTTCTGATTTCAAAGGCGATCTCTAAAAAATAGGATAAGTCGATTGTTCTGGAATAGAGTAGCTCCAATTGCATCTGTTTTCACTTCGAACATAGCTTGATCATCTATCAATGTCTAGTTTTAATTCTTCGAATACTTTTATTGATTCACAGTTTAGAGGGAACGAACTTCTAGTTAGATGCTTTATTTTACTAGCAAATTGGGGAATAAATGAGCATAATGTGAAAATATTCCAAGACTCTTTGAAGTGAAGCAGTATCATTGGGGATCGACAAATTAAGTAAAGGTTGAAGACGCTCAGATTTATGACTAATTATATACCCTAGAAGATAGATTTCTCCCATTGAAAAGGAACTTTTTTGCATATTGAGATTTAAATTGTATTTTGATATAGCATCCATAAATTTTTTTTAATATTTGTCATGTTCATCTTAATTATTACCACAAATTGTTATATCATCCAAGTAAACCTGAACCCCATCTTAGACTTTCAGCCGGAATTATAATATTCATAGCACGTTGAAATGCTGCAATGCCATTTCCTACTCCAAACGGAATTCTTGTGAATTGGTATAGCTTACCACAAGCTTCAAACGCTGTATAAGATTTGTCTTTTTCACTGATTAGTATATGATAGTACGCATTTCGGAGATCAACAGAACTATTACTCGATAAGAGACTTTATTGACAATGTCGTCAATTCGAGGTAACGGGAAGGCATCTAAATCTGTATGATTAATTGTTTAAGAGTAATCAACAACCATTCTACTACTATAATTTTCTGATGATACTACCAATACTTGCACTCGTCAAGGTGAAATACGTTCTTCTATTATTTCTTCTTTTAGTAATTGTTGTATCTCATATTCAATAAATTTTATATCTACGAGATTTAGTAGAAATTGGGCCACCGTTAGGTGATAGATTTGTAAAAAGTTGTGCTAGCTCCAGATTAGCTACTGCAACATTGCATTTATTAAGAGATGCTTCTTTACCACTGAATTGTACTTGTACACAAGAATGTCGTTTTAATATGTCATGTCCAACAATTATATCTGAACAGAGGTTTAAAAGAATACTAACTATGAGGTCTTTGTAGTCATGACCTTGTAGATGTAGGTTTATTTTGGATCGTCCCTTAATTGAAGAATGAAGTGAAGTAGAAGCCATAGATACTTTCTCGCTTTTACTCGGAATAATAGGAGTTTTGAGTTTGTGAACTCTACTTTCACTAATAAAACTTGCTGAGCTTCCTGTATCTATCAGTCCAAAAGTCAAACAACCATTTATACAAACAAAAACAATTGCATTTTTCAAACAAGACGGTATGGATGCTAGACAATTAGAATAATGATTAGACAGATTTGAAGTTCCAGTCCTATTCTTTTTCTTACAGACCTTTTACCAGTAGCCTTTAGTGCCACATGATCTACAAATTGCCTCTCTTGCAGGATACTCGGTTCTATAGTGCTTTCTTAACCCACATAAGTAACAGCTTATAGTTGTTTTACAATCAACAGAATCAGATGTGGATTATTTTTCAGCTTGGTCGTTTGATGTAATTGAAGTAGAAGGTGAATTTTTAGTAGCCACTGCATTGATCGAGGAAGTTAAATATTCTTGTGATTGATGTTGCGCAACTTCAAAAGATCTTGCTTGTTTGAAGGCGTCATCTGGACTTATAGTCTGATTTTCAAATAATCTCTGTCGAATATATGATTACAGACCATCTATAAATATATCACGAATACTTACATCTCTGTTAATTTCTGCAGTGACAGCTTTAAAGTTGCAGTCTCTGAATAGGCCTTTGATAGATTCGAGATACTTGTCAATCGTTTCTCCAGATTCCTGGTGTCGGGTCTTAAGTTTATATCGAGCAAAAACTTAATTTACTGGTTTTGTATATATGTTCTTTAAAACGTTAATTGTATCACTGTAAGTTCCGCATTTACTTACATATTCGTAAACAAATGGAGATATAAAGTTCATTAGTACCTTTAATATATCTGTATCTTGTATATCTGATGAAGAAATAAAGTTACGAAAGGTTTTAAACCAGTGATTTCATTCCTGGTAAGCATTTCGTCATCTGGATTGAGGTCAAATCTTTGAGGACGTAAAATACGTTCCATTGTATATTAATGCTGTAAATTGTTGTAATAATTAAACGATGTAAACGATTTACCTTTATTAAGGCTTTACAGCATTAATATAAATCATCATAAAACTATTGAATAAATCAACTTGACAACTAACTGACTGAATATAACAACTTAACAATTTATATCAATATAGTGGGTCCCAACCATCTCTCTACAGCTTGTATCATTAGTGGAAAAAAATTCCCACGTAAGTTTTTTTTAATTTGGGGAACAGCCTGTAATCACTGAGGGAGAGATCTTGGTGCTTGGTGTATAACAGCCATGGCAATACAAGATGTATGACTGGAAGCATGATCCTGATGGAACAGCACGCCGTTCCTTAACAAGTTTCCTCGGCATTTCTCTTTAAGAGCATCTCGCAATTTAGAAATCATTTGTGCGTAATAAGCCCCTATAATTGTAAATGGTCAGTCAGGATGATTTTTTGAGCATTCCAGAACGCAGACAGCAAAACCTTTCCAGCAGACGGCACGATTTTGAATTTACGTGAAGGAGGAAAACCGTGATGTTTCCACTATTCATTTTGAGCTTTGGTCTTGGGATCATAGTGGTGCACCCATGAATAACATACCGACTAAGAAATTTATCTTTGTTTATTTGGTACATTTCCAAAAGTGTTTCACAAGTCAACACCCGATTTCTTTTTTGTTAAGTGGTTAATATTTGGGACACCCATCTTGCACTTATCTTTTATATCTAATTCTTTATTCAGTATGTGGTGCACCACATGATATGATAAGTCAGTATCTTCCACAATATCCCTGATGTGTACTCGTCGGTCTTCCAGTACGATATCGTGTACCTTTTTTAACCGACTTCAAAAAAGGAGGAGGTTCTCAATTCGTCGCAATATTTTTTTTATGTATGTTCAGCGATAATTCTTTAACACGGTGTACCGATTTTAATGATTCTTTGGTGGTACTTCAGGGGTGGTTAAAATTTATGATTTGGGTCCATGAGAAAATCCTCAAACTCTTCATTTTTTATGTTTGTTTAGCAATAATACTTTACCACCTTGTCCGATTTATATGATTATTTTTTTGTTAGTAAGGAGGTACCTCAGGGGTGGTCCCATATAAATTTGGTTAAGATGTGGTGATGGCATCTGCACGTTTTTGATGTCGGTTTTTTTAAATTTTTAATTTCTAATACTTGTTATATTTTTTTGTTATGAGAGGACTACCAGCATGCTGGTTTTCACAGGATGTTCTTTCGCATTTAAAATCTGGACAGCAGCGTTTGACGATCATAATACACTGCAGACTCACCAATAGTGTCCACAATGTCTTCATGAATTTGAGTTGGTGTCATGTTCTTTTTTCTGGAGGTATTTTATTACAGCTCTTTGTTCTACAGGATCCATTTTTATGAACAATCACGACACACACTTTAAGAATTAGCATAATAATACTTTGAGATACAAAGTTAATATATTGTAGATCAGGGGCGAAGCATCATAGGGATCCACCCTTGTATTTCCTGTTATTCTATTTAAGCCGTTTTGTAAGTACACCAAATACTTATAACAGAAAGTAAATTGTGAATTACTTAAATTCAAAAATAACAATACAATACAAAAATTATAAGAATCGAAAAACACAGCAAATTTATAATTATATCCCTCTAGCCTACTCAGACAACTTTGAAGTAGTACAAGAGTCAAATAAATGGATGATAAAAATAAAAAAGCCGTTAGATGCAGATACTTATGCAAGAAATAGTGAAATTGTCACTACTATGGAAGCTACAGAAAGGGAAATAGAAAAAGGCTTAGCTGTTTTAGTAATAGAACTTACAGATGACTCTAGTAATGATGACACCATACAACCCTATTATATCGTACAGTACAAACCAAAAGGGCAACATTGATTTCAATCCAGCTGTTTTATTACAAAACGTTTAAATACAACAAACAAAAAATACATATAAGTACTGCACAAAATACATTACATAGTACACAAATCCTATAAAGACATCACACAAATATTTATACAAATACATTTTGTTAAAGCAGGTATAACACAAAAATTTTAAATGTTGATATAGCAGACCAAATACTACTGGTTAAAATACCAATTATACAGCAGCATAATAATTAAGTACAACATAAAATACACCATTGTTTTATGCTTAATAAAAGTCAATATTATTAACCAATTATTAATTGTAAGCACAACACACAAATTTGGTAACAAAATAAAACAAAAACAATATTCTTGCTTAACACAGTTTTATACAAAATTAATTGCCAACAAAGTACGTAACCACACATCAAAATACAACAAATATTGTGTGTTGTGAAGTGAAATACAACAAATTTGAATATCACTGAGGAAAATATGCACTTGACTTACAAAGTAAAACGTAAATTGCTGTCAACAAAGTGCAATACAAAAATAAATATTACAATAGTACGACATTAGTACAATAAAGAAAAATAATACACTATAAAATACGATACAGCCATTCTTTACGAGGACTCGAATTGGAATGATTTAAAAAGTCGAACTGAAAAGGATTTTAAGAAAATACAATTGTGGTTCCAACATAACCTTCTCACACTAAATATTGAAAAAACGCACTATTTACCATTTACATCATATGAAAATAATCTACCGAATTTTAATACTTTAGAAATAGATCAGTCCAGTGCAATTCCAGCTGCAAAATCAGTTAAATATCTAGGTATCATAGTTGATAGACATCTAAGATGGGACCTTCATATTAAATCGGTTGTACAAAAATTAAGAGGCATGTTAGGGAAATTTAGACACCTTAAAAAATTGTTAACTGAAGTTCACCTAAAGACGCTCTATTATGGATTAATTCAATCGCAGTTGAGTTATGGAATAATAGGATGGGGCGGAGTAAGTAACTTTTACCTACAAAAAGTAGACATTATTCAAAAATGGCTAATAAAAATAATATATGGGAAAAGTCGTACTTACTCCACAAACTCCCTATTTAAATTATCGGATTAGATATTCGACAGATTTTTTGTTTAAAAATATTATTATTTACTAAACAAAAAAAAATTAAAATAGAACCCATTTCTCACAAGTACGAAACGAGAATTAAGAGAAGAGCATATATTACACCAAGATGCGAAAAAACTGCAGGTCAAAAATGCTGTTCCTATCTAGCACCTAGAATATTTTCAATAATTCCCGATTTTTTAAAAAATATACAACAATACAAACACTTTAAACAAAAAATTAAAAAATGGATAGGGGAAAGTGACAGAACAATATTTCATAAGTTTGTAAATTCAAATATGTAAATAATATAAAATGTGTTAATAATATAATATAAGTAAATAATGTAATATAAAATAATAGACTTGAATTTGACGCTATACCTAATTACATTACATAAAATTACGACAACATGATTAGAACAATATTCCCGATTATAACAATACACCCGAATATGACAATACACCCGATTATGACAATACACCCGATTATGACAACTCATATAATTATGAACTATTCCTGATTTTGACAACTCACTTAATTCTGAAATTTCATTGTAATCTTTTAGTTCTCGAATGATAATAGAAATTATTATAGTAATTAAGATTAATATTAAGGATACAAATGTATGAACTTACTAAATAAGTATATCACAATACAAGCTGAGCCTCTTCTGGGGTGACGCTTCTGTGATTAGTCGTAGTTTATTCAGCATAATATTGTAATTTTACATGTAAATATTTTTTGGTATTGAATAAACTCATTATTATTATTTATTATTTTATAAAACATGAAATACACCAAAAGTTGGATCCGATTCATGACCACACATCATTTAGAAAACAAAATAAGCAGCTTCCACAACATAAAAATTTAAATATAATTAATTTTATAGACTATACAGACAACTTTCAAGTAGTGTACAAATCCGATAGATGGCAACTGAAAATTTTAACTCCTCTCTCCGACAAAGATTTTCCTGACAATTCAGAATTGATCACTACCATGGAGGCTACAGAAAAGAATGTTATTGGAAGTGGTAGCACCGTACTAGTAATCCGTTTGATTAAATCGGAAATTAAAGTACCAAAATTCAAAGAGGTCTATTATACCGCCGATTATCCGAAGACTGGTTCAGGAAGTTTCGTTTTTGCCAATGATTTGACTTTTGAACATGTAGATAATTTGGATAAAGTAAATATAACAGTAGACGGTAAGTTTTTTTTTTTTAATTTAATTTTGAAGCATACACATCGGATGCTACTAGAACAAAAAGTAATTGTATATAATCTGTATCTCCCTTTTCCCTTAAATACTATTATACATATTTTTTTCTTAGACTTCTTAGACTTCTTAGACTTCTTAGACTTCTTAGACTTCTTAGACTTCTTAGACTTCTTAGACTTCTTAGACTTCTTAGACTTCTTAGACTTCTTAGACTTCTTAGACTTCTTAGACTTCTTAGACTTCTTAGACTTCTTAGACTTCTTAGACTTCTTAGACTTCTTAGACTTCTTAGACTTCTTAGACTTCTTAGACTTCTTAGACTTCTTAGACTTCTTAGACTTCTTAGACTTCTTAGACTTCTTAGACTTCTTAGACTTCTTAGACTTCTTAGACTTCTTAGACTTCTTAGACTTCTTAGACTTCTTAGACTTCTTAGACTTCTTAGACTTCTTAGACTTCTTAGACTTCTTAGACTTCTTAGACTTCTTAGACTTCTTAGACTTCTTAGACTTCTTAGACTTCTTAGACTTCTTAGACTTCTTAGACTTCTTAGACTTCTTAGACTTCTTAGACTTCTTAGACTTCTTAGACTTCTTAGACTTCTTAGACTTCTTAGACTTCTTAGACTTCTTAGACTTCTTAGACTTCTTAGACTTCTTAGACTTCTTAGACTTCTTAGACTTCTTAGACTTCTTAGACTTCTTAGACTTCTTAGACTTCTTAGACTTCTTAGACTTCTTAGACTTCTTAGACTTCTTAGACTTCTTAGACTTCTTAGACTTCTTAGACTTCTTAGACTTCTTAGACTTCTTAGACTTCTTAGACTTCTTAGACTTCTTAAACCGATATATTAGCCGTGTCGATGTGTAATGCTACAAAATTGCAGATTTTTTCTATTCAAAAAGCCACTATAAGTAATAAACAATTTTTTATAGAGTATGCCACCAATTTTAAAATAGAATACAGTGCGTCGAAGAAATTGTGGCAAATCACAATCTTAAATCCTCTAGATCCTAATCTCTTAGATTTGAATTCTTATATAACTGCCACATTAATCGCAAAAATAGATGGCAGCACTTACAGTCCAGAGGCAGCTTTCGTATTGAGTCTTCCAGAGAAAGAAGTAGAAGAGGCGCCTGTATTTACACAATCCTATTATAAGGCAAAATATGCAATAACTGGCACTACATCTGTGGTGACTTTTGATGATGACATTGGGTTTACTAATAAAAAAGATATGAGTAAAATAAAAATTGTATCAGATGGTAGGATATTTATAATGATTGACAAATCTTGTTCGCATCTAATTACTAAATCTTTTAGAATTTGCAAGTTACTTCACCTTCAAATATGATACCAAAAACTGGCTATTAATCTCAGATGGTGTACTAGAGGCTAATCTGCTAAATAGAACTGATTTGGTTGTAGCTGTAACAGCTACAGATAGCTCAAACAAACTAGAAGGGCATTCTGTCATCGATCTCAAACTGCCGTCCGTTAATACTGCAGATGCACCTAAATTTTCGAAAACGTATTACACAGGGCGTTACGAAATCACCGGTGACAAATCAATAGTGACTTTGGATGAAAATATCGATTTTTTGAATAAAGTTGATGTCACCGATATTAAAATTACCACCGATAGTAAGTTTACAAAAATTCATGTCTGGTAATATTTTATTGTACGTCTACTGCAGTAACTACGAGGGTTGCTCCAAATGTTTTGCCCCTAACATATTTATTCCTGGAAACATTAGACTGTAGGAACTGCATAAGTGTATATAAACAATTCTTACCTTTTATATAATTTTTAAAAAGAACTTTACTAGAACATTATATTTTACATCTAGTTGAAAGAGCTCTTTTGTTAATTGCATTTCGTTGAAATATGAATTATTTTTGTATTTATTTTAACAGCATCACATTTTTCCTCTGACGCAAATTTATCTGGTTGTATTATTATCCTCCTACAGCACACATTAGCATCTTGGAACCTCTAGAATTACAATCCAATACTGCAAATAATAATTTTTGATTATACACAAGTCGATAATAATAATTAGACCTAGGAATATATATGCACCCAAAAAGTAGTTAAATATGCGCATATATATGCCGCAAAATACTTCAATATATGCGTAAAAAATTGAAGAATATGCAGAGCATATGCAATAAGAGTAATTTGTTATTTGATCGAAATAGTTTATTCATATTTATTATTTGTTTTATTTTACAATACCTAATATAATACTTAATAATTATTTAATTATTAACTAATTTTATTTACAAATCAACATTATTATAAAAAGAATGAACAATTAGATGTTTTTCTAAATTATCTGTATTAAATGATTGTCTCCTATCAGTAAGTATGTACTTGTACAAAGAAAAACTCCTTTCGACATCTACAGAAGTAATAGGTGCAAACTTAAATTTTCCTGAAATATCTGGATGAATAGTATTAATATCTTCAAAGTTACCAGAATAAATATTAGCAAGGTTTCTTAAAACAATAAATCCTTCATTTTTTAAAATTTCATTTGAAAATTTATGGAAAATCGTCTTTCCAATATCGCACTGGACATTTTTACACTCTGATTCAAACGTCTTAATTAAATTTACGAAAGTCACCAAAGGTAAATTTTTTGTTCTAAATCTAATATAATTTTGGGTACAAATGCATAATTTTTTAAAAACACTAATTGTTTTGGTAATATGTGATTTTGAAACAACTTCTTTGTATTAGACAGTCCCTTAGATGAATCATCAAAATCAAATATGATATCTTTAATTTTTTCATAATTATCTGCGTAAAAAAAGGCAGCTTTAAGCCAGGTACCCCACCGAGTAATCACAGATTCCGGTGGCATCTGTAATTCAGGAAATTTTTCTTTGTACAATTGAGTTCTTAGAGGAGCTTTAAGAAATATTTTTTATACATCACTAATTAAAAAATTTATTAAAGGAAAGTTAAACCTAATTTCTTCTGCAACTCTGTGCGGCTTTTACCATGTACGGGGCAGCATCGGATAACAGCAATAAACATTTTTCTGTTGGAACGGCTTCCGGAAGAAAAAATGAAGACAATTCTGTCTGGATAAAACGAGTTATTGTCAAGTTATTTGTTTTATCCAATTGCTTTGAAGCGATTAGATATGGACCAATTTGCATTTTTTCGCGTAATGAACCTGTCATTAAATGGGCTATATATCGACCACAAGTGTATGTTGTTTCATCCACAATAATGTAGAAATGGTTTCCAACGGTAATCTCACGAATTTTTTCACGAGTCTCAATGTACAAACTGTCAACACCACGTTTGCGTAATATACTTTGCTCTGGAATATTAAATTTACAGTATTTTTGCAAAAATGATCGGAGATTTGGATTATTATTGGATTATTCGAAGTCACTAAAGCTTGTTCACTTCTAGACGATCCAGATTCTAAATATTGTTTCAAGGGAAGTTGACTTTGTCTGCGAGTGTCTTTAGATTTCTGCTTTGCTATATGTGAGGGTGTTTTCGCGTGTTGGTCGATTTGAAACTTTTTTTTACATGGAATCTAAAACAAATAAATTCCTGTAGATGTTGAAGTTTTATTTAAATTAAATAAATGCGTACGTTGTAAAGTTGACCTACTTTTTTTTAAACTGGAAGGTCAAAATAAAATATAATGGTTATCACCTTCTACAACAAAATTTGAATAAAATTTTACATACGACTCAATTAGTTTTGCCATTTTTCCCCACTGGTTAACACAACACAACAATAAAGACTGAAATGAAGTTGAAAGTAAACTGAGTCATTTAGAAATTTGAAGATATTAATACAACTAGCTGAAAGGATATTTAGCAAAATTTGTTGGTTTAAGGAGGGTGTTTATAATTTAATCCTCTCAAGTACCTACACCATTAATCGTAATTTATTACAGGGAAAAGTTAATCCTTCAAAATTTTAGGAAATCGACCTGTAAAGGCATTTCACAAAATATTATTTTGGTCCAAAACTCATAATTTTAATATGTCCAGCCAATTAGTACGTCAGATATATGCCAAAAAATTAACAAAATGTCAATATATGTATTCAAAATCAAAAATTGTATATATATGCAACATATGCAAAATATGGCGTTTTGCATATATTCCTAGCTCTAATAATAATTCTATTAATAATTTTGTTTTTATTTGAATATAGGCATAAATGAGCGTATTGGTTTATCTTTATGAATTACCTATGCATATCTCCTTATAATTACACAAAATATCTTATGTCAAATATACATAACTCCTTTATCAATCAAACTAATAGTTATAACTAGTAATTTTTTTTAACTAACATCATATTTTAAGTTCTTAACAATGTTTATATCATGTATATACTTACTTGCTCAATATTGCAGGTGCAACTTTATCAAAATTATTATAAATACAGTTTAAAATGTCTTTAAAGATACAATACAGCACGCTGTGCAACTTTCATATTATTGTCAAAGGTATTGGTATTGCAGATTTCTTTTCTATTAAATGAGCGACATCTATTATGAATTTAAGTAATTTTGAATCTGTAACCCATAGATTCGGTAAATCACTATAAGATGTAGCAAAAATTGTAATTTCGACAAAAATAAACTTATGCACTTTTCAAATTAGGCCGACGAACATAGAAAAAATTTTTAAACGAAAAATAAAAATTCACAGCTACACAAAAAAAATATTTTCGGGTCTGGGATGAGACCGTGTTTTCTAAATGTTTATGGGATCGTTAAATTCAAATCCGGCGTTCGATTAACCTTATCAAGTCATTGTTTTGCCATAAACCCAAAAAACCCAAAAAAATTGGGCTGTTTGGAAAGTTTGAGTTGCAGGCTTCTCTGTATCTGTAACCTGTGGAGGGTGGGTTACCCCCACGGTACTTAGGCCTAATTAGGCCCACTGTGCATCCCCTAAGATGATAGGCACCTCCTAGCTCGTGAGCCAGTCTAAAGATTTAATATAGTTGGCAACATCGCCAAAAGGTGCTTCTCTTATATAGGCAGGTGTTAGCCGATACTCGCCGAACACAAATCTTCTAATAAATGAGAGCGTCGGGCAATCGTAAAGTATATGCTTGATGGTCTTATCTTCTTATTCGCACTTGCAGAGTGCGGATTCTGACAGCCCCATAATATGGAGATGCTTTCGTACTTGACAATGACCAGTCAGAATGCCTGTGACTAGGCGCAGATTCTGTTTAGTCATAGTCAAGTATTTGTTTGCTGCAGTGTTGTCAGGATAACTCAGGTGATCCCTGGAAACTCTGCAGTTTCTTGTTTCATCCCATCTTTCCTTGAATTTCACAAGGGAATGTTCTTTGATTAGGTCTGTCACTACCGATTTTGTCAGGCCAAAGAACAGATCCAAAAAGTATTTGGTTGGCTACTTTCTTGGCTAGTGAATCAGCAAGACGGTTACCTTTCAATGTGGCGTGACCTTTGATCCATCTTAAGGTGACACATTGTTGATGGATACTTCGACCAAAGCTTCGTGACATTGTAGTACTAACCCTGAATAAATTCGTAGTCTGTTTAGGGTGAGTAGTGCTTGTCTGCTATCTGTATAGATGAGCATGTTCCTTCCACTGATATTGTTTCTGGTTATTTCTTTTGCTGCTATGAGAATCCTCGTTAGCTCTGTTTGAACTACACTGGCACTATTGCTCACAGCCCATTTTATGTTTAGTTTTAAGAATCTGGAGTATATTCCACATCCTTAGCCTTGTTTTGTTTTAGAACCGTCGGTGTAGATATGAATCGTACCTGCCACTTCTGGCTCTTCTATTTGTTCTATTATAACTGTGTATATGACTTATGGAAGATATATCTCGGTGAGATGGAGTCCATGTTCGCTTGAAGCAGTGGGAGCGTATTGAGCGCCTCCTGCCAAAAGTGACGTCTCGCCTCACCAGATCCTACATCAGGTTCTATTCCAACCATGCGGAGGCCTGTCATTGTCGTCAGAGCAACCTCCGTGATGTAATTATCAAGGGGAGTGAGACTAAGAATGACTTCCATCGCTCTGGTCGGTGTTGTTTTCATGGCTCCTGTTATGTTGAGACATGCTGTTCTTTGAATTTGTTCTAGTTTACGGATAGCTGTTAATTTTTGGGTTTTCGGTACCCAGACAACTGCACCGTATGTTAACATAGGTCTTATGATAGCCGTGTAAGTCTATGCGACGACTCTGGGGGAGAAACCCCAGGTGCGTCCCACGGTTCGGCGGCATTGTTCATAAGAAATGTATGCTCTTTTAACTCTGTTTTCTAAATGCGAGTTCCATGTTAACTTACTGTCAAAGGAGAGACCTAGGTACTTTACCTCTGTCGCAAAGTTTAGTTTTGTGTTTAGGAGTTCTGGAGGTTTTAATTACATTTTCATCATTTCATTGTGAAAAGGACCATTTATGTCTTCATGAGTTGCAGGCTTATATACATTAAAAAGTGTTGAAAAGCCTTAATTGTTGATATCATAGCAAAACACTGACGTAATAGGGTTAAACGTATCCCGATTTCGAATTCAGTGACCCCAAAAACATATAGAAAACATGGTTTGATCCCCAGACCCAAAAATTTTTTTGTGTAGCTGTAAATTATAGCGTTTTTTAAGGTT